TGTTAGCATCCAACCTGAACTTTTTCGTGAGTTGCAACTTGCTGGACAATGTAAGAAGCAGAGGTGAATTGGTTATTGATTGCTGCATAGCAGGTGGAACACTGGGAATTAGTTGACAGTCACTCTGGGCTTCATGAATTTTGTGGTTGTACCACATACATAAATTTTGAGTTTGAGGGGGCTACCTGTGGATACCCAGTTTGGATGCTATAACCCATCTCTGAGGAATGGCCTCTTAATTTGTGTCTTTTACAGTTGAAAACTTGCTGTTGATCCTATTAAATTTATGATAATGAAACCTACCTAACATCCCTGACTAACTTCTCATTTAATACTATATCAGAATTACAGTTTGTATTATTTGAATGTGGTCAGAGTTTGAAACTGTTACAGGGCAGCTATCACCGTGGAAGTGGAAAGACTGGGTACCAACTCTCACCTTTTCAGGTACTAGCTGTGCACCTGGGCAGATTGTCCCTTAAGCCTCAGTTTTCTCATGTGAAAATGGAAATACACTGACAACTGCATCAAAGTTGTTGCAAGGAATACTGATAGTTAATATTTTAGTGCCATTGTTTTGTTTTACATTCTCCTCATTCCCATTGCTTTCTCTGTACAGCTACAGTAGCCCAGCCTCACTGGCTGGCTGGTTGCTACCTCAGGACCTTTGTACTTGCTGCACCCATTTCCAGACACATCCTGTCCCAGTAGCTCACATGCTGGCTCTTTCATGGGATTCAGGTCGGGTGTCACATCTCCTGAGATTTTCACCTATGCGAAGAAGCCGTTCCACTCTAAGGAATTTTCCACATAAGCACCCTGATTTATTTTCTTTAAGGCACTTACCTCTCCTTGTAATTATAGCCCACTATAATATTAGCTCCATTCTAATAGGTGCCTTGGTTGTCTTATTTATTCATTGGCGTATTTGTAGCATCTAGGAGCAATAGATAACTACATGAGTCTTTGTTGAATGTTTGAATGAGTAAGATTATAACCTAGATAATTCATTTTCTGGAATTGGGGTATTTCGAGATATCCTGAAGTATGAACTTAAGAACAACATAGAGAAGACCAGATGCCAGGTAGAATGCATTTTTAATGCAATGACACGCCAGCTGTAGTCTTATTTTTTAATGACCTTTGGAGACATTTTATCAATAAGAGAAAAATACCCATGTGAACATTTTAAAGCAAGCATTCATATAGAACCCAATACATTTTTGTGTGCTGAGAAATAGTATTTTAGTGATTGCCTCGTGTAGACACGGTTCCTTTCTATTTTGTAGGGTGTAGAGTGGCATTTTAAGCTTAAACAACGTAAGTTAAGAGTCTCTGTATACTTAGGCTATACGTGTCTACTGGAATCTTTTGTGTATGCACACCAGTTTAGGAAGGGGTGCTAACATGAAAGTGATTTAATGGTGAAGACAGAAGTGTTTGGTAGACTAGCTCTTGGTGCCTTTGTAAAAAAATGTAAAGAAACATTTTGCTTGGAGCATATTTCCTTACGATCATTAATCCACAGAAGTTTACTGTGCTAAATTGCTTAGGAATAGATTGCTTAGAATGAATTAAGAACTTCCTATTTTAAATGAAACCTTGGCTGGTTTGCTTAGACTTTGTTCTCCATTGATATATAAAATGTCAACCTTGTTACTTGGAAGATTAGAAATGATGTTTGTGATGAAAGCACATTGAAAAACTAGATTCTCCTTTACAGTGTATTATTTTAATTCCATCCTATGATTAGATTTCCAGTGTTTTACGTTTCCTTCAGGGAAGTCATGTCAGTAAATTACTGCTGCCCAAACTACTGCTGAGGTTTTAATCGTTCTTCAGGTGTGTGGGGAAGGAGCCAGTCCAGAAGCAGGTGGAAGACTGTAGGCATCAGGGACGATTACTGCAGCAGGGACCCAAGGAGCATAGGAGCAGACGGAGCAGACCCACCGTTTAGAAGAGGCATCCTTGAACTTAGGAGGAATGGGCAGAGGCATCATTTAGTATATGAAGATCGTTTTAGCTCTCGTTAGACGGCCCCAAGCTTCTCACTAAGAGAAAAGCTTCTCACAGGAGAAAAGGTCACCTGAGAGTGAAGGAGGCAGGGTAAAACCCGGGCCTTTGAGGAAATTGCAGAAAGTTTAAGTAACCCTTGTGGGGATGAATCAACACAGCGATTTGTACCCGGTGTGCGTGAGAATTTTTCAAACATGTAATATCTGACTTTTTAGTTAGTGGCACTGACCTCTCTTCCTTTAGAGTATCAAATAAAAAATAGCAACCAACATGACAGTAGCCATCCGATGTGAATGAATAAGAAAATATACCTGTATTTTTTGTCAGATCGACAGAAAATATATTTTTTGGTGTGCCACAGAATTTTAATAATCTGTCTGTGCCATGAGATGAAAAAGGTTGAAAATCGTTGAATTTACACAGAAGTGAGTAAAAACTTGAGCAGCAGTGAGGCCTTGCTGAAAAGGGACTTTACAAAATTATTAAAAACATTAACTAAAACCTTGAGGAAGAAGAAAACCTATAACCCAGCTACCCTGACACTATTTGTGTATTTGTGCACTTTACTGTCTAGACTTGCCTACATTTTAAACCCTTTTTACTTATTATATTGAATATTGTAGATTTTGATGTTACTGAACTATTACTTCAATTATTTTTAATGGCCCCATGATAGTTTGTAGATCTGTCCTTTAGTTTAACAAACGTCCCTCTAATTACTGGCTTGGGTAGGGAGTTTCTAATTTTTAATACTATTATACTTAAAGTTGCAGTAGATATTCTTATACATAGAGCTCTTATGAGTGGTCCCAGCAAAGGTTTTATACAGTGCTTCGCACAGAGCAGAATTGGCTTCACACAGTATTGGCTCCAATGTTGCCTCTATGAGGCCTTCATGGACCCAGCACATTTAAAACTGCAACCCTCGTATCTGCTTCATTTTTCTGTGTAGCTTCCTCTGTCTTCTAAAATACTAGGCATTCTGTTTAACTTGAATGCTCTTACCTCCCTTGCTTCCCTTGCTAAGGGTATATAAGCTCCAGCTGGACGGGGATTTGGTTTGTATCACCAGCACCTAGAGTAGTGCCTGGCATGTAAGTATTTGCAGAATGGTGGGGTTTGCCCACCCCTGTGGACGAGATGGATCTGAAGAGTGTCGGTATTCGTGGAAATCAATGGGAGAACAATGGCAATGAATGGTCTTTAGTCAGTTTGCTGCTTCCAGACCGCCAGGGAAGCAACGAAAATCCACCAGAACAGTGGATTGGGAGGCCGAAGGGTTGTTAGCACTTGGAGGTAATTGTGGCCACAGAAGCACATTCCTCTGGAGGGGAGCATGTGGGAGAGATAGATGGTAAGTAGGTTGTTACAGCAGGGAATGTGCCAACGTTTAGATGTTAGAAAGGGAAAGGTTTGAGAATTAGTAGTGGCAAGGTTGGTAGGAAACTTAATTTTGCTGGAAATGGACTGTATCATTTTTTAATTGTTTCTGCCTTGACATGCAGCCCTATCTGAGCTTGTATTTGGCTCACACTGAACCGTGGTATGCAAATCACATTTTGCTGTCAAAGGCATTTTCTCATTGGAGTGTGGCTACACGTGTGAATCTGAGTAAGCAGGTGTGCCAGTAATGTTGGTCAGACGGTTACTTAAGCAGAGTCAGTGACAATGGCAAATCAGGCTTCAAAGCTGAGTTTCCAGAGAAGCTGCCGCCCCCACCTATGGTAGAGCTGATTGACAAGTTCATTCAGTTGAACTTTTGACATTTTACGGGAACTTTTCTGTTGGAGGTCACCTTATTCAGAGTATAGCCGCTTGGTAAATACATAAAACATGTGAGCATATCATGTTCTGACTTCATTGTAAGCCACTGTTTGGGAGTCCCTCTTGGGTGTGAACCCTATGGCGGTTTCTCTGGGGGCTACCTGAATTGTTACCCTCTGCCCAGTCGTGATTCTTCAGTTTGCTATGGCTTTCCCACTCTAGCAGATTTTAAGCCTTCCTCTCCCACTTATTCTCTGGTGAATTGTTAGTGACAGTGTTTTCTCTACGAAATCATACCTATTGGAAAGAGAGTTGAAGGAATGTTTCTCTCTCATATTTGTCAGTGGGTAACATGTTTATTTCTTAATTCTTTAGTTTCTTCCATTTTAAGTACGCTCATGATTTCAAATATAACCTTCCTCCTCCTCCAGAATCTCTGGGATACTTTACCAACTTACTGGTTTCTTAGAAAAAACCACAAAGCGATTTCATGTTTTGAGACCTATCTCAGAACTTTTTAAAAAATATACCTGTGCCTTTGTTGGCTTTTTTTTGTACTGAAGTTGTGTTCGTAATGATATGAGTTGGATGAAATCTGTCTTTTAATGAAATAAATGTAACCTGAAGTTTTAGAACCAAAGTGCTTCATTTGAAATAGGGTTTGATGATTATATTGGCAAGTATAACATGATTCGGCATTGTGGTAATTTTTCCCTACATAGATGACTTTGAGAATTTTGAAGGAGAACAGAAGTTGGCGTGCCCCTGTCCTGCACAGGAGGAGTGTGGGTTCTTCCCTCCCTGGTGGAATGGACTGTAATTAGTGTATGATGTAACCCATTTTAATAGAAACACCTAATGATAAGCTTTGCTTCTATTGAAAACCAGGCTAGAGCTATTCATTCTCCTTATATTTCCTCATTATTTGGTTGTTAGCATAATAGTAACTCATTTAAGATCCCAGACTTCTTTTTATCTTGGTCAGAATCCTTAGGGGGGGATGGTTAAATAGTTTTTATTTAACCCACTTCTGGCCTCTTGTGAGGAGGACGGAAAAATTAGTTATGTGCCTGAATCACTGGGGAACTGTCCAGACCTGACTTCTCCTGCAGAGCCTCAAAGAGCAGTTGGGCTGGCAATTTGACATAAGACTTAGAGGCTTAAATCTGTGCCTGGGAGGCAGGAGGCATCTGTATTAACCGGAGATTGCTTGCTTGCAGGGAGAATGCTGGAGAACCAGACTCCTGGAGCAGTTTATCCTACGAAATTCCCTGTGGAGACTGTTCTGTGAGGCATCACCGAGAGCTGGACGTCTACACCTTAACCTCAGAGTCCCAGGCACATCCTGCACCCCCATTTCCTGCAGACAGTTGCTCTGAGCACATTTTTAAACTTATGAACATCCAACAGCAGCTAATGGTGAGGAAGACAATTTCTATTTTCAGGTTTCTGTACCCTCACTCCTTACCCCAATGAACCTTGCTATAATTAACGTGAAAATACTTCCCTCAGAGATTGTGAAACCTGTCAGTAAAGCCGTTTTAGCAATAGTCAATGTGACCACTTACGGATGCAGAACTAGCATTGCGGTTGTAGCAATAGGGGCTGAGAGAGCTTTTCATTGGCTTGTTGCCAGGTTTCTGAAATACTGCAAGAGATACACAGACACCTTGTAGATACAGAAATATGTAACAACCAGAGCTAAATTTTCCTGGCATGGAGGGAAATTTGCCTGTTTAATTTTATAAATTTGCTAGTTTAACTTTATAAAGCTAAGTGAACAGAGTAGCTTCTGATATGGTCGCTGAAGAACAAGAACCAGATGGACTCAGAAAAAAGCCTTTTCACAACTACCTCAGTGAATGATGATAATGCTACTATACTTAAATGGATAGTTGTATGGTAAAAAAGATCACTAAAAAAATAAAGATTTTATAATCCACTCAAAGCCTTCAAGATGAAGTTGTTGCCAGACATAAAAACATTACAGACTCCCTGATAGTATTTATTATGGGTCATATAAACGTCACATGGATGCATCTCCCGTGGCCATAACATCTGAAAGGCTAAGTTTAGATCATTTTTCCACCCAGTTTTACTTCACAGATGATTTGATTCGGAAAAAGCTTGACAGTAATTTCATTTAAGGTCGTCCAAGGTCAGCTCAGTGCCAGAGGCCTCTTTGGGAGCAGGCGTTGTTCTGGGACCAGGCTGACGCACTTCATGGTGCAGCTGCACGAGGAGCTGCCTCTGCCTTTCCGATGCATGTTTGCTCCAGAACAGAGGCCATTTGGTTTCTTCTGCCTAACTTGCAGGGACTCAGGTTTTCCTGTAGAGCTTTTCTTACTAGAAAAATCACAGTCCAATAGAAAATACCAGTTTGCAGGCGTCAAAGGTACCTGCAAGGTACCGGACTAGAAATCGTGAGAAATTAAAACTGTCAGACGATGCATATGTTAGGAGCGTCTATCATTTCTTAAGAAACACCAGTTTTTTTCTCCAAATCTCTGGTCTAGAATGTTCACCCTTTATTAAATTCAATGACCTGCTTTTGGAATTTTTAGGAAACTGTTATACTCTCAGCAGGAATGGAAGCAAGCTAATTTTGAATATGCTAAGGAGCATACATAGCACCGAAGCTTTTAGGAGAAATCCATTTTTCCGGTCCTGGAGAGACTTCAGTGAGCATAGCCCGTCTTACACTTGTGTGTGTGAACTCTTACCCTAGGCCCAGTGCGTAGGCAGGAATCGTGCTGTGTGGTGGCATACTGAAAGTACTCGGTGTATTTCCTGAGGGGGGAAATGGAAGAGAGGACAGTGGACAGTAACTGTGCATGAAATTATTGCCAAACATCACATAATGAGTTAAAAGCAAACAGCTGCCTTAAAAATTATTTTTATGTACTGACCAAACAGGGTTATTATAAGAATTCCTGAAATTGTGATATAAAGGCACACTCGATTTAAACATCATCTGTAGTTGTTTATTCTCCATTTTTCCTAAGCCTTGTCTACACATGTATGTGATTTCTGCATAATTATAACCTTAGATCAAGGATTTAATTTTTTTCCACATCATGTTATAATTATTTTTTTCTGATTCACTTTGGTCTTTGTAGTTAATATTTATATATGGCATAGCATTTTCCATCAGTTTGATCAACCATGATTATTTTAACCATTACCATGGAGTGGTTATATCTGTTTATATTTTTTAAAATTCTTTAAAGTGGCAGAAACTATCTTTGATATGACCTAGAATATTCTGAAGCCACAGAACTATCTGAGAATAATCAAGATTTAGGTATTATTAGTTTGATACTATTTCTTTAGTATTAGACAGCAGAGGAACTGTCGTTACCAGAAAATAAAAGAATATCTGCCATGCCACTGTTCTTGGAATTAAGACACAGAACTAAAATTGTTGGGCTAGATCGACTGGATCACTTTCTGGGGCTCAAAGGACACAGTGCATCTCCTCAGTGAGATTTTGGGGCCCAGAGCTTCTGCCCAGGCAGGTAACTACAGAACGTTTACCCAGCTGGTCAGGGTTTGCTTTCACTGATACGTGAGGCAGGATGGAAGCCACCTCTACAGACCTCATAAAAAATGTCTTTCTCGGCAGCTAGATCAGGAGTGGAAACATAGAAATGAAGATCTCAAGGAGGGTTAGCAACAGGGGAGTGGGAGGAGGAGAAGGTACAGAAAATAAGTAGCATAGACAGTAGATAGAAAATAGATGGGGGGGGCAAGAATAGCATGGGAAATATAGAATCTAAAGGACTTGAGACACATGGTCATAAACTAAAGGGGGGGTAATGGTGGGGATGGGGGGTAGGGTGGAGGGGAATGAAAGGGGGAATAGAACAACTGTAACAGCATAATCAATAAAAAATTTTTTAAAAATGTCTTTCTCAATTGCTCATTTGGAGATTAGTCACTGTGCTTTGAAAAAGAAGGTTTTTGATGCTCAGTTTTAAGCCGTTTTCTAAAATAAGTTTGTAACACAGGAAATAGTCATCTTGTGTATTTTTTACCATTTTTTATCATGCCAGTGGGTATGTAGCTACAAGGGAGGAAAGTGATATCAGGAACCAGAGACACTTTATTCATATTTATGTAGATCAGCTTATTGTGCGACCTAAGAAGGGTTCGGGAGGTAGTGAGTTCTGTCCAACAGGGTTTGTGTTTATAGGTATCACTGACATCTTTTCCCATGAACAGTTTTTTCAAAACTGTCTTTTCTTTCCTCTCAGAAAACAAACCTGAAGCAGATGGACAGTCTTATGCCCTTAATGGTGACAGCACAGGACCCTTCAGGTCTGCCCACTGCCCAAGACACAGATGGCCCACTTGTTCCCTGCGCATCCATGCCCACGGACGGCCAGCAGCTTTCTTCTCCTGCGGACGCTGAGAGCTCCCCACGCTGCCCAGGGATCACTGTGGGGCAGATGGAATGTTCCTCCGATTTACCCAGTATGGCTAAGGAAGAGAATACAGACTGTTCCTGTAGGAAAAAAAACAAAGGCATGGAGAGAAAAGAGGCAGAGATGCAGCCAGCGCCTACTGTGGACTCTGAAACTGTGTCTGATCCCGACAGCTGCCTTCAGAGCATGTCTGATCAGGGAGGGAAGGGGACAGAAGGCCTTCTGTCTGGTGAAATCAGAAGTGAAGAAACTAGAACTGAATCTGCTGCAGTGGCTACAGCCCAGGAGTCTCGGAGCGGTGGAGAGGGTGTCCTGCCAGGAGTCATGGTCATGGAATCAGGCACGGCCCAGCATTTGCCTGGAGGCGACCTGGTAGTCGTCAGTGCAGCAGTGGATGCCGGCGTTCCAGAGGCTGCAGGGGACATAGAACGTGGTCTCGTGAGCCCGGACACTACCGCCCAGAAGAAGATGCTCGAACTTGGGCAGAGTACAGAGGAGAGACTTGAGGACTCTAACGTCAGCACCACTGGAGCCTCCGATGTAAACGGCACGAGGAAACCTGTGGATAAAGCCATTGCTTCAAACTGTGTTTCTGCCCCCTGGCCCCTGGGTGGTGACAAACCTGCTGAGTCGTTTCTTGCATTGAGTAATGGAGAAACCTCTATTGAAAAAACTGCAGAAACTGAAACTTCGAGACGTTGTGAAGGGGGCGTGGGTGCTGCCGCAGAACAGAACCCTCTCGTCGTTCCAGCTGCTGCCAGTGACAGGATTTCAGACAGCTTCCAACCACACGCTCCCTTAGCAAACACATGCGGGGCAGTGTCGCTCTCTGATTCAACCTTCCCTGGGCCACAAAAAGATGTTATGCCAAACCGGAAATCAGAAGCGAATTCATCTCATGTTCAGAGCCAGAATGGTGAGCCGCCCCTCTGCTCTGCAGCTGGTGACGATGATAAACTTTGTGCAGTCTCTGCGCGTGGACAGGACACAGTGACTTCTATGGGTGCGTTGGCTTTGAAGCGCTGTGATGACGTAGTTACCCGGCCTGGAAGCACCACCACAGGACCGCCCGACACACAGCACACGCCCACTGCTGTCTTCTCGGAAGTCCCACAGTCTAACACAGCCACCCCTGACTCTCTAAGCGGCACCCAGGAAGATGTGGGTTTTAGTCCTCTTGAAGTTTCAGATAAAGAGGGCCCAGCAGGAGGTTTGAACTTAAAAACATCTTTAACGAATAGGCTTGAGGTGGTTCCGCAGCCACATGCCATTTTCCCCAAAGCAGAGGAAGAATCAGTGCCAGACCAGGCCGTGTCATCAGGCAGGACTTTCTCTCTGGCTGGGAGTCCGGGCAGTGAATCAGTAACCAAAGATGACGCACTTGTCCCCTCCCAGAAAGAAAAGGGAACAGCAACCCCTGAACCACGTACCGCTACAGATTGTAGAGATGGCGGAGATTCGAGTGATCCAGATAAGCAGCCACTAGAAGACAGTGCAGCAGGCCTGCCCACGTCCACTGTCCTGGATCTTCAGCCCAGCATGGGGAACACCAGCCCTGTAGGATTTGGTGAGGAGCAGGAGGGTCCCTGCCTCTCAGCAGCCCCAGAAGTTCTGAACATTGAGGGGGACATTGACTCTCCCGGGCTACATATGGGTAAGGCCTCGTTGGCCTCTGATTCCAGTTTGACTGAAGAAGGAAGAAAGCTCGTGGTTCCAGAACACTCTGCAGCTCAGGGACAGGATGACAAGTTCAAAGCAGTGATTTGTTCCTCCATTAAGGAAGATGCTTTTCCTTCAGGAGCATTGCAAGAAGAGCATAGAACAGACCCTCCTGGACAGGAGTTACCAGGATCCCATGGAGACCCTAGCTCAGCTGTCTGTGCCGAGGAACGAGTGCAAGAACACAGTAATTCATGGGACACACCCTCAGCCTGTCTGAACGCAGAAACTAAACATAACAAGGAAGTGGCCCCACCAGTCTCACTGCTGATTGAAGGTGGGGCTGCACAGAGCCCAGTGCCACCGGGAGCAAGTCTGGCTGCAGACTCAAGCCAGGAAGCCTTGGGTGCAGGGCAGAGCAGCTCATCTCTGCTACCAGGCCTATTGCCAGATAGGTCTGAGGCTCTTCATGGCAATGGAGATTTTGCCCTGGATATTGGCGTGAAAAACACTCAAGCCCAGGGGAAGACCACTGCTTGTGAGGCGAGTGGAAATATGGCATTGGATGTTGCTGTGGTTAATGCTCTACGAGGAACTGTGGAAGCCAGAAGAAAGGATTTAGCACACCAGGCACAAGACCTCCCGATCCCAGGAGCCTCGTTGAGCCGGGAGAACAGTGTGATCCAGGGTTTGCCAGTTGCTTTACCAGACAAAGGTGAGACTGACCTCCCAGTTGCTGCACCCCCAGAGGTGGAGACTCTTGGTTGGGAGAAAGGGAAGCGGGAGGGAGCCAGCCTCAGCTGTAGCATGGGCGACACCGGGGGCGCGCAAATGAGCGATGACGCACTCCACGTCCTACCGCAGTCTGTTGCCAAACAGCTCTCCTCAGAGACAGGGCTCTCAACCAGTGAGGACAAGGCCCCGTGCAGGGACAGGGGTGCTCCCCCTGCATCTTGTGCTATGTCTGCCAAAGCCGGACGTCCGCCTAAGAGAGCAGACTCGATCGAGGAGGCTGCCAGTCATCTAGTGGATGCCGTCATAGAACGGGTCAGGGCCTCAGGCGCCCTGCTCACAGAGGGGGCCGTCAGTCACCTGTCACCGTCTAGCCCTTCAAAGTCAGGTCCAGGGACTGCACAGCTGGAGAGTGCTTCTACGGGGAAGGAGATCACTGTCCTGCCTCAGGAGACTGCACATGTGGGCGGTTTTCATGAAGAAGCCCCTGCAAACCCCGCAGAAGGTATTGCTGGAAGGGAGGAGCCGGAGAAGATAATTTGGCCTGGTCAAGGACCTGAGCCAGCAACAGGTGAGCAAAGCGTAATGCAAAATTCACAACTTGAGAGCCAAATTCCCTTCAGAGTCTCTGTGATATGCTGGTAGAAATACAGGTGTCTTTGTTGTCCAGAGATCTTATGTTCTTTGGGTAGGTTGCCAATGTTAATAGTCACCACAGTCAGGAGAGGCGCATCACCTCAGGGTTAGACAGATTTTGCTTCCTGGTATAGCCTCCTGGCTTGATTGCTGAGGTCTGTTAAAGCTCCTCTGTCACACCCGAGCAGCTGCAGCCTTCCTGACCCGCAACACCCTGTCCACTAGCTCCCTGGTGCTCTGAAATGATGAAGGGATTGAGCAGGTGTCTTAATTCTCATGGCTCAGTCCTATTCTCTAAAGCCATCCAAAGCAGTGCTAAAAAGGTGTTTTACTTACAAGCCTAAAACTCCGTCTTCTCCGTGTCATCCTAGTCTGTGTTCTGAGCAAATTTAGAGTCAGAGAGATTTCATGAATAGCTGTAAGTGTCTTTCTAAGCCAGTGGCCCAACATCCCAAATGGTGGTATGAGGTCATTGGTGAGGGTTGGGGGAAGGGAACTCCCTCCTTTTCCTGCTGGAGGAGCAGACCTCCCATCCCATGGCCTGCTTCTTTGGGGCAGCAGTCTGGGAATGCAGGACCCTGCACCGTGCAGGGATAGGATGCAGGATTTCCGCCCCAGCCCAGTCTGCGAGCTGCTGTCACAGGGCCGGCGTGGTGTCTGCTTATCTTGGTGAAGCAGCTGCGCCGAGCTGATTGCTCACACAGCAGCCGGTTCCATCTGTGGGTAGCCATGTCCAGAGAGAGCAAAGAGAAAGCACCACTGCTCGGTGGAAGTCAGCTCTCTGGGTAAAACTTCTTGCTGGGGGTGGAGGCCGAAGCTGCAGCTGGAGTCAGGGTCAGTTTTACTCCTGAAGCTTTCAAGGTCAGGTTGGTTCACTTTGCTACCACCACCTGTTACCAGGTGTAGACCGAGGACCCGTCTCCATGCTTGCCCCCAGGCTTTTGTAGGTAAGAACTAGCCTGTTTGGTTTTTGTTGTTTGCTTGTGTTTTTGCTAATTTTTGAAAATCCCTTTATGTGTAGTACATGTTAAGAGTGTGGGGGTGGGTTGTGTAGACAATTGAGCAAATAGAACAAGAAAAGAATTTGCTGAGGAAATGGAGCCGTGCAAACACGTTTGCCATTTTTCCTGATTAATCTTTTTTTTAGCCATATATAATCACCCCCTTCCCCCAACTGAGAGATTTAAGAAGCCTGTGGTAGTATTCTTTGGTGATTTCAGTTTATTAACGTTTGAACTTTGTTGGCTGCTATCTCAGAATTTAAATGAGAAGGTCTCTAATTTTTAAAATAAAACACAACAACAAGTCTATTTTGAGGGCCCTGGCAGGTTGACATTTCAGCAGAATGGGAAGGGCTGTAAGCTGATGCCCGGCTGTGTTCCTTTCACTTGGGCCCTGCGTCTTTGGCCACATGGGCTGGAATTAGTAATCAGGACTTAACCCGAGCAAGTGAGAACTGGATGAGCTTTGTGTCTCTAGTGCCCTGTGGGCAAAGGTAGACACTAGGAAGAATGTCAGGCTTTGAGAGTTACTTGTATGTAAAGGCAGTGAAGATGTGAAGAAATGGTTTTTTAAATTTTAAGGTTTTAGGAAGGAAACGAGATGAATGCCGTTTCAACTGTATTTCTGGGTTTGGGGTTTGTTGATATGTGTGGGTGGGCTTCTCGTCCTGCTGCCAAGAGGAGTCATGTGTTCTCAGGGCTCATGGTCTCGCAGCCAGTGGTGAAAATCTGTGCTTTCTTCGGAAAGTAGCCTGGACTGGGGAAAGTCCCTGGGCACATTGCCCTGGAGAAAAGCACCTGAGTGTGATCTCAGAGCAACAGGGTATTTTTCTAGGAAGTGTATATTCCATCATGAATATAACCATCCTGTTCTGTGAATGAAGAGACGTGACTCTAATTGCTGGTTTGGAAGGAGCCCCGTGGTCCTGGCTTGTGCTTCTTTCTATACGCTGCTGTAGACCAACCCGTAGAGACACTCGAGTGGGCAAATAGCCTGCAGTCAGAGAGAGGGCAGGTGGCCCTTCACCCATCGAGAGCATTGATCACAGTACCCTGGGCAGCTGGGCGGCAGTGCCTGAGGCAGGCCGGGCCGCAGAGGCACCAGCACCCGTCAGGTCCCGGTAATCACTGTTGACCACTGTGACTGGTTGCTGCTTGCCAAACATACACATTATCAGTTGGTGGGTCTAGGATAGTAAGGTTGTGCCAAAAGTCACATCCCCAAATAAACAAAATGAAACTCAAAGCAGTAAAAAAAAAAAAAAAATACTTGGACTCACTTGAATTATCTTCATCAAGGAATACTTCCAAGGGTATTGCTTGGTCAGGGTCTCCCTTAGTCAGACTTTCAAAATTTAATCACATTTTTTTAGGGCAGATTTTGGTTCCTTGGTTTTCTTGCCTATTTTTAAACTACTAGTGAGATTATATAAGAGCAAAGAAAGATAATGTTTGATTATAGAAATGTAGCTTTCCTAAATCTAAATTTGACCTAAAAGCACATGTCAGAATGTGCTCTTAGAACAGAATCTTCACATAATTTATTCTCTGGTGAAAGCAGCCTCTTTGCTTTTTGGTGTACGTGACAGTTTTCTCTGCCAGAGCAGTGGCATCGATAACAGAAAAGGTTCCACATGGAATTGAGACAATAGTTCCATTTGTAAGTGTATTATCAAGGTGAATTTTGACTGGTAAGTCACCAGTCCCCCTTCTAGAAATGCCAAAGCCTAAATTTGCTTTGGACATTATTTTACCACTTCCTTCCTGTATTTGCTTGACCATATGGTGGTCAGGTAACAAGAACCACTACTGTTTGGTCTGTGTTGAGCATAATTCTAAAGAAGACACGTAAAATTTTTTTCTTAAAAGAAGGAACTGCTACTTTGTGGTTGTATCTTGGTTTGGGAAGAAACAAAAGTTAAAACAAAAAATAACTTACTAGACTAGTTCAGACTTACCGTTGGCAGTTCTGTGTAAATGAGTGTATGCAATATTTTTTTTTTAAAGAAGGACTCGTCCCACAGCCTTGATCTCATCCTCAGTGGTCCTTTCTTTCCCGTCCTGTACAAAGGCAAACATCTCTTGCCTCCTTGATGATGGTCAGAATGGACCACCTAGCTTCAGCTGTTGCTCTGTTACCTGGGAGCTTGTGACTGTGCTTTTCCCCATGTAGTGTGGGGAAACACACTCAGCCATACTGAGTTCAGCAGTGTGGCTGCTGAACTCAGCGCCACACTCAGATTTGTCATGAAAGTCAGCTGTGAAAAATGGAAGTTCAGCAGGCATTGCATTGGGCCTTCCCTTAGCTACAAGACCCATAGGAAGGCTAGGGAAACCACACAGCCATGTGATAAAGGTCAGAAATGACACCAGTTCCTGAAAGCAAAAGCATTACTTTTCCATTTAGCCCTGAAGCAAAAACAAACAAAATACACAAAACCTGGAGCATGTTGTATAAATAGGCACAGAGATCAATTTTTCACTTGTACTTTGTAACCCCCGTGTTCTCTTCAGAAATGCCAGACACCAAAGCTGATGATGAAGTGGATTTTCTGAGGGACACCAGGGGGAGTTCGGTTTCTGAAGAGGTGGCTGTAGGTGACACAGCTGCTACATCTACAGTGGCCAGGCAGGGCCCGAAGACCCAGGCGGTAAGTGGCCTCAAGTCTGTACCAGTGCAAACTATGGTTAGTTAGCCTGGTTTGGTGTGTCTGATTTATGTCCTTGTTTTTTTGTTTTGGGGATTTTTTTTTCACAGTAGTATTTTTTTCCTTCTCCCTTGTTTTATTACATGTAAACCTGGGTATGTGTTCAGGTTAAGCTTTCATGAATGGTGCGCACCGCAGGGCAGAGTTCCGTAGTGGGTCTTTCTGAACAGAGCCCTAGGAGATGGTAATGAAAAAGATGTTCCCTGTGATCACAAGACTTTCAGTTTGTCATCAAGTGTAATGTGTCACAAAATGAGAATTACCACCAGAGGGATCTGACTCTTTCTTTTTTCTTCCTATAGAAACTGATACCAGTACAAATGAGATTTTAACTGTAGTTCAACATGAGTTTTAACTTATAGTACACATTATCTGTGTACAAGATGAAGGGTATGCTATTTAATGATGCCAAAAATGCTTAGTAGCTTTTTCCCCTAACAGCTTTATTGAGATGTAATTCACATATCATAAAATATACCCTTCAGGTCAAGTTTTTAATAGATTTATGGAGTCGTGCAGCAGTCATCACTGTCTAATTTTAGAACATAACGTCACCCCACAAAAGAAACCCCACCTTTATTCCCAGTTCACTGCTCCTACCCCCCTAGCGCCTGGTGATTGCTAATCCGTTTCTGTGGATTTGTTCACTGTGGAACTGCATAGAAATGGAGTTTTATAATACGTGGCTGTCTGTGCCTGGTTTCTTTCACTTGGCATGATGTGTCCAGGTTTACCCATGTTGTGACATTGATCAGTATTTCATTTCTTATTATCATTAACTAATATTCCATTGCAGAGTTATACCACATTGTTTTCCACATTTGGATTGTTTTTTGGCCATTGCGAATAATATTGCTTTGAATATGTGTAAAGAAGTTTATATAGAAATATGTTTTCATATACGTAATGGTGGATTTCCTACATCATATGGTGATTCTGTACTTAATATATTCAGTAAGTTTTAAAAAATGGTTTTTTTAAGTTTCTTGAAATTCTCTTTTAAAGCAAGGAGACTTGTAGAGAGAAACATTGTTTTCAATTTTAGATTTCACGCTGGTTAAAAATTAAAAAAAAACTTTTAGAAGCTGAAAATCAATGTACTGGACTAAGTCATATTGCCTCTCAAAAAATCAGTCTCCCTTGTCTAGACTAGATGGTGCACTGTTTCTGTTCTTCAGAGAGCTAAGTGGTTTATTTTCTTCAAGTTACACCTGTGGGTAAACAGCACTGTACCCTCCCAAACTGGTTCACGTACGTGAGCTGTGATACCAGCCTCATTTTATTGGAGCGCAGCGGCAGGGCGGTGCTACCTGCTGCGACCCACTCCTTGTTACAGATGCCACTCATGACTAATGTCTGGGCGGCTACTTGGAGAGCAGGCATTATTCAGACAAATGTTGCTTTTGCTGCTAGGGCAAGAAAAGAGAACACACCCTGCATGGGTACATGTGTCTTTGTTTCCAGAAGCCCCTAAAGAAAAGAGAAGGAACAAACTCACATCCTTGAATTCAAGTGCCTCTGTTTCTCAGCCCTCCAACCTACACATGGCGGGGGTTAACGTCACTGAGTACAGCTGATGCTCAGCCACGGACCCCTTGCTTTCCGATGAGAGATATCGCTATCATAACTGCATCTTGTCTGTTACAAAGAAGAAAACAAAACATTTAAAAAATAAAAAGTCCCTTGTGTCTTCCCTGTTCTCTTTTTTCCTCTAGTTGTAGGTGTTGAGAGAGATAATACTCTTGGTCTGGTCAGTCAGCATGGCCCCATTTTATAGATAAAAGAAGTAGACATTCAGAGAGTCATAGGACTAGCTCCAGATGAGTCCCAGCCACAGTGAGAGCGCAGGGCTTGGTTTCTAACCTAGGGCTTACACAACAGGGCACATTTCCTCTTGACTCTCACCCCGGGCTGAGAGATGGTGGCAATAGGTTGAGAGCATTGGAACTTGCTGATGGGGGGGATACCTGTGCCTCGAGCTTTGTGTCTGCTGCCAATTTATATAGTTGGGGAATTTTCCGTTCTTGGAGATCGCCAGGTCTAAACAGTGGAGATTTCTGTGTTCTCAGTGTTGTAATGATGTGAAATCTGACCACTTACCTCTCCTGCCTGTTGCTTTCCCAGACTTGCCCTGTTGGCTCCGAACGGAAAGGCCAAGGCATGGACACATGCTTTACTTTCTTCCTGCATTCCACTTTCTCTCTCCTCCCCGTGTAACTCTTCGTGTGCCAGATTCACTGTGCAGGTTTTCACTAGGTCAGGAGAGAGAGGTCTGTAAACTCTTTTTGTAAGGGGCAGAGCAGAAATATTTTAGGCTTTTGGGGACATATTCGTACAGTCTCTGTTACAACTAGTCATCTTTGCTATTACAGTGTGAATGCAGCCATGGTCTATATGTAAATGTGATCGTGTCCCAATAAAACTTTATTTGTAGACACTAAAATTTGGATTTCATATAACATTCTATGTTATGAAATACTCTTTTTTTGGGATAACTTTTAGTCATTTAAAAATGTGAAGTCTACTTTTAGGTTTTGTCGTAGGCTGTACAAAAACAGGTGGTGGGCCACTAGCCATAGTTGGTGAGCCCCTGGCTTAGAGGATACTGTGTATATCAGTGGATGAAAAGAAAGAAGCAGCAAGGAGACTTGTTTTCTAAATTGTGTTACTGGTTTTGTAGTGGGAGTTCTAGTTATCAACTGCAAGTTAGGAGGCAGAGAGTTCCAGTTCCCTGTCTCTCCAAACTGGATTTTCAACTCAGCTTCTCCAAAGTTCAGTACCCTCATCTCTGTTTATCTTCTGGCTTTAACCTCTGGCATCTGTGTGTGCAGTCGGAAGAGGGTTACTTGAGCTTGTGGTTGTAACTGAGGGTGGAGTGGCGTTTGTATAATATTATTTAATCCAATCTTTCTGACACATGCCCAGTCCCTGTGTTGGCCTTGGGAATAGGCCAGTCATTGCTTCCTTGAATCATTGTTTCTCTGAGTCATCCTCTTCAAAGGTAAAATGGAAAGAATTTGTACATCTTACTGCCTTGCTGCTCTCTTGAAAACTTAAAACAGTGGTGCATTTATGACAGTTTTCTAGTAGATGTAAATAAAGAAACTTATATTCTTTTAGGAGTCTTCCTGCTTGTTAACCTTCTCTAAATATATTTATTGTCAGTGTGTAAGGACCTCTGTTGAGTGTGGCATGCCTAAATATTTAAAGAAAAACACATTTGGGTTCCTGTTTTCTTTAGTCCAGCAGTCTGACATCTGTCACACAAACTGAGCAGTGATTTTTCATTCCTTAAACTTCTTGCCATGTTGTGCTGTAAATAAGCCCTAACTTTAGAGGTTAATAATGCTTAAAATCATGATGGATGAAGGAGTTAGGCAATATCAGGATTAATGCTTGCTTATATTTTCAGAGAAAACACACTTATGCATTAACTGCCGCAGGTTTCTCCGTAGGGGATAGATGGTCCTAATAGATATTTCTTCACTAGGTTGAAACTTGTTCACAGTTTAGGAGTCCAGGTTATTTAGTTCACACACAATGTGGTCCGTTCCCATTAGTCATTCTATCAGCATTTTATGGTTGTGGTTTATTATTAAGTATTGCCACAGGGTTAATAATAAGTTACAATTTTATATTCAACATTATCCCCTCTTGCACACGTCACTGGTTTCAAGATTCTCAGATTGCCCCTGTTGTCTTCTGTTCATCCCCCCAGTGAGCAATATACGTCAGGCACTTAGAACAGAGCTTGGCACGAAGTGCAGCGTAGCATTATTGTTATTAATTAGTGTCATAAGTCAGATTCCAGTATTCTTTTCAGTCACTTAAGTAACCAGTGGCATGTGGTGGTTCCTAAAACAATCAAGACTCAGTTTCTGCTTCTTGAACATTATTATTGTTTAAAGATTTTATAAAAATTCCATGTATTTATTTTTAGACAGGAGAAGGGAAGGAGAAAAAGACAGAGAGAGAGAGAGAGAGAGAAACATCATTGTGTGGTTGCCCTTTGTGTGCCCCCTACTGGGGACCTGGCCTGCAACCCAGGCATGTGTCCTGACAGGGAATTGAACCAGCAACCCTTTGGTTTGCAGGCTGGCGGTCAGTCTACTGAGCCACACCAGCCAGGGCTGTTGAACATTATTATAAAAGCTTCAGGAATAGCATTAGGCCTTAACTTAAGATGGGATACTTGAAGCTTGTTTTACCTCTGAGACGTTTAGAATTTCAGTGAAGCCAGAAGATTATCTGAAGTTCAACATCTTCACTTTAAAGCAGAGAAACGAATGGAACATGCTTAAATGACTTGCCCGATTCCCCTAACTTACCTCTGTAAAAGCTGGATTAGAACCTCACTTCTATGTCAGTAATGTTTCCATTATATGTACGATGGTTTCAAGAACAGTCATCCTGAGGTTACACTTCTGGGGAATCCAGTTCACTTGGATGGGTTTCAGCATTTTAAACAAACACCCCTGACTGATGCTTATAACACACCAAGATTCTAAAACCCTTACATTACCCTCTGATGCACTGATACTTGGAGAAATTCCATTGGCCATTTTGACCAAAGCTAATTCACTTTAAAATAAGTCTCGTCGTGTTTCTATTATAATCTATTTACCTTCAGTGAAATACCACCAAGATGGTATTTGTCTAAAGAGTTTGTTTTTCGTGCAGAAATGATTGATTTTCCAGATCTGCCTTTTATTTTCTAAAGAAGAATGTGACTAGCTATAGAGATGCCGTTGAATCCTTTAGTCCTGAAGAGAAGGTGGACCATTCACCTTGGGAATATGCTCCATGGTGGCCAGAAACGAATTCTGATTCCTGCTTCCCTGCCCCAGGCTGCAGACCAGCATGGTCCACATCCCTGCCTGAATCTTCTTTCTCTTCAGTATGTGGCCAAGTTCACTAGAGGGAACTTGCCTCCCTGGGTTATC